ATAATGATGCTTGAGGCAAATGGAGCTGATTTATGTGTTGACTTAGTCAGAGAGCTAACAAGTCCACAGGAAATTGTTGGATTTATGTAAACTGACCATTCGTTTCTAAGGAGACTGTTGATACAGTGCTAACTTCTCTCCACACCTGCCACATGATGCCTTCATTTTTCTGCCTGTTAAGACCTCCTTGGCAATACTGTTTTGTTTACCCATGATAGTCTTTTTCCTTCTACGAAACGTTTTGTTGTTTTTTGAGTTGAGAACTGACTCCCTTAACATAGACATCACACAAAGTAGTAATAGTAAACCCAGCAAAAGAGTGTATTCTTTGTGATTGACCTCTTAATTTTTGAGATTACCCTGTTCAGTGGGACAGTAGTTCCTTATTGCTCCTGTATAACCATTGCATGCATTGATAAAGATTTATTCTGTAATTGATGACACTTGGTTGTTTCTAGCTGCTCTAGTGTGAATAATGCTCTGGGAATACTCGTGTCTAAGTGTACATAAGAAAGCATCTCTTGAGTGTGTACATAGGGGTACAGAGATCCTTTAGATATTCATAGGTTTATCATGACTTTCATAGGTTGAATAGTGTTAAAAGTTGTACCAGTGTATATTCCCATTAAATCACACCCAGTTAAAAGTCCCATTTACTTTTTGGTTTTTCCAGACAGGGTTTCTCTGTGTAGCTTTGGAGCCTGATCTTGTCCTGGCACTCGCTCTGTAGACCAGGCTGGCCTTGAACTTACAGAGATCCACCTGCCTCTGCCTCGGGAGCACTGGGATTAAAGGTGTGTGCCACCAATGCCCCGCTAAATTCCCCATTTAATTCTAAGAGTTTTGTTGCTCTGACTTACCAACTTAACATTTTATCACTTGCCTTCTCATGGTGGTATTCTGTTAGGGTCTGTATTTTTTTCTTGTTTGAGACAGTTTCAGTGTGTACCTTGGAGTGGCCTGGAACTTGTGGTCCTCCTGCAACAGCCTCTTAAGTGCTGAGGTTATGGGCATATACTCAACTATTTTTTGTTTCCTGTGTAAGAAATGGTGTCCTTCGCAGGCAAATGGATGGAACTAGAAGAAACCATTTTGAGCGAGGTAACCCAGTCACAAAAAGACAGGCATTGTATGTACTCACTCATGTGTGGATTTTAGACATAGAGTAAAGGATTGCCAGCCTGCAGCCCAGGCTGCCGGAGAGGCTGGTAAACAAGGAGGACCCTAAGAGAGACATACATGGTCCCCTGGAGAAGGGGGAAGGGACAAGATCTCCTGAGCAAATTGGGAGACAGGGGGGAGAGGAGAGGGCACTAGGAGAATGAGAAGGAGAGAAGAGGAGGGTTGAGGAAGACATGAGGGGACAGGGAGGTTGAGGTGGGGAAGAACAAAAGAGAGCAAGATAAGAGATAATATAATAGAGGGAGACATAAGTTCGAAGAGAAATCAGGCACTGGGGAAATGTCTGGAGAGCTACAAAGATGACACCAACTAACAATCTAAGCAACAGAGGAGAGGCTACCTTAAATGCCCTCTCCTGATAATAAGAATGATGACTAATTCATATGCCATCCTATAGCCTTCATCCAGCAGATGGTGGAAGTAGAAGCAGACACCCACAGCTAACCCTTGAACTGAACTGAAATCCAGATGTACAGAAGGGGGACTGATGAGCAAAGTGGTCCATACCAGGCTGGTGAAACCCACAGAAACAGCTGACCTAAACAAGGGAAAACTCTTGGTCCCCAGACTCATAGCTGGGAAACCAGCATGGGACTGATCCAGACCCCCTGAATGTGGGTGTCAGTGAGGAGACCTTGGAAATCTATGGGGCCTCTTGTAGTGGTTCAGTACTTATCGCTACCATAGGAATGGACTTTAGGAGCCCATCCCACATGAAGGGATAGTCCCTGAGCCTAGACACAGGGGGTTGGCCTAGGCCCTATCCCAAAGATTATGACAGACTTTGAAGACCCCCCCCCTCCCAATGGAAGGCCTCATCCTCCCTGGGGAGCAGAAAGGGTATGAGATAGGTTAGGGCGTTTGTTGGGGGGCAGGGGAGAAGGAGAGGGAGAGGGCCCTAGGATTGACATGTAAAATAATTTTCTTTCTAATAAAAAAAAGGAAAAAAAAGATAGTGTCCTACTCCAAAGTCAGAAAGTTACTCCTTTATCTTCAGGAGTTTTCAACACTTTTCTCTTTATTATTTTATTCTGCAGTCCACATGAAAGTATTTTTTGACATCTAAACATAATCATCTTTAGAATATTTTGTGAAAGGGTTGGTCACAATATATGAGAATTTTAGAGCAGTCTCAATGTGCGGGGCTCAAGCCACCTGTCCCAATTATGTGAGCGAAAGAAATGAGTAATTGTGAAGAGCAGAGAAGGAAATTTAATCAACATGCATTAGGAAGAGGAACAAAAAGAGGGGTTTAGATAGAGGAAGCATGATGGCGGGTGGGGCAAGAGATTTGTAAAGCTAAGCACTGCTGATCAAGGTGTGGTCTGTTTGTTTATTGTCTCTCCTGGTTCTGCAAGGTGGCCAGAAGAAGTTCTTACTTCTTACTGAGAAGCAGTAAGGAACAAGCTGCTTCTCAGATAATTAGCCATGCTCCAGAGTGCTGCCTTGCTTCATGGTCAGTTCTGTGATTTGAGTCATGGTCTGTTCTGTGAGGTTCTGTTGTTTCTAGAATCCATGGTGACTGCAGGTTTAAGACACTGACTGGAGACTGGAATAGGACATTCTAAGATGCCTCGGGTACTCTTCTTCTCTTTGTATCTTCCGCCTTGAAGTGTGAAATAAGAGGTTAGGTATTACCCTACTCCTAGGTAGTGATTAACATGCCTATGCGAATTAAAAGGCCGTATAGTTGCAAAGTGAAGGGAGAATTACCAGGGTTTCATCTTGCTTTAAGTTACCTTGTGGGCCCAAGTGAGGAGTCAGTGGTTTTTAGCAAAGGCAGGTTTTTAGGAACCTCTTTACCAAACCAGCTGTTTTGACAAGAAACATATCGATACTAAAGACACATGTATGTAGAAGCTATATCTATTAGCAAAATATGTTTTACCAAATCCTTCGTTTTAAAACCATGTTGGAGCCGGGTGGTGGTGGCACATGCCTTTAATCTCAGTTCTCATGAGGCAGAGGAAGGTGGGTCTTTATGAGTTTGAAGCCAGCTTGATCTACAGAGCGAGTTCCAGGACAGCCAAGGCTACATAAAGAAAATACTAAAAAACAACAAAAAAATCATGTTGGATACATTAGATTACTACTATATTTAAAACTCAAAACCTTAACTTTGCAGATAAACAGCAAGTACAAAGTTGTCCATTAATTATCAGACGATAATTATTATTATTATTATCATCATCATAGTACCTTTATTTCAGAAATTAGGAAAGCCTGTTCTTTAAGTGGGGAACTATCCTGGTCTTCTGGGTGAGATGGGATTTGAAATTTTTTTCATCCTGCCTGGTTATTTAATTCCATTGTATTTCTTGGTGGTATCTTTGATAACCTTAAGTAAAAGAGCTGAGGGTAGTAATTTCTGGGTGCTGAAAACAAGAATTGTTTAAATTATTATGTTTGTAATAATGCAGACACTTTGGAGTTAGTCGTAAGGGTTAGAGAACTAGCTTAGTGTCTAAGAGCTGCTTTTGCAGAAAACCAGTTTGGTTTCCAGCATCCACACTGGGCAGCTCACAAACACCTGTAACTCTGTTTCCAGGGGATCCAACTCCTCCTTCAGGCTTCTTTTGGGTCATCCTCTACTCCCACAACATACATCTGTACACACACGTAAATTAAAAATGAAAATATTTATTCTAAAACTTATGGTTATTTGAAGACTAAGGCTGGGTGGTGACAGTGCATGCCTTTAATCCTAGCACTCGGAAGACAGAGGTAGACAGATTTTGGTGAGTTCAGAGCCAGCCAGGTCTACAGAATGAGTTCCAAGACAGCCAGAGCTACACAGAGAGACCCTTTCTTGAAAAACAAAAAATCACCAGGATGATTTCATCCATTTGAAATAGGTTGGCTTTGACTTTTTAATCCATATTTATTATCCTTTTATAACCTGGTGATCTACATTAAGATTGTAATGAAAAGGATTGTTAGATCCTTTTTAGCATTGAGAGTTCAGATGTGTAAGTAGGTCAGAACTCTTGCTTGGACAGGTACTGTGGCTCGTTCTGCAATCTCTGCATTCAGAAGGCTGAGGCAAGAGGATAGAAAGATCCATTCAGCCTTGGCTACATAACACGACTTCCAGAAAAACAAGGTCTGGGGTTGTAGCTGAGTGGTAGGATGTTTATCTTGCATGGCCAGTACCCAGCACCAGGAGACAGATTTCTCTCTTACCATAAATAAATTTTTGAAAACATATTTGGTTAAGATATAGTGTACACCTGCAGTAATGCTCACTTTTAATCCCAGCACTTAGAGGCAGAGGCAGGGGAAAAATCTCTGAATTTGAGGCCAATCGGATCCAGTCAGGATTCTTAGAATGTATAAATTATTCTTGTGTAAATATATTTGATAAAAATTCTTTGTCAGAATGTAGTCTCCTAAATATAATTTAGTACATCACACATAAAATTTTTAAAATTTTGGGCAATTGGAATTGGTCAAAGTGTTTACAAAATTATGTCCCCAGTGTTTTATTTTGTTTTGTTTTGTTTTTGAATGATTACACTGAACATTTGGTGGTCTTTTTTTGTTTGTTGTTTTTCATGACAAGGTTTCTCTGTAGCTTTGGTGCCTGTCCTGGAACTCACTCTGTAGACCAGGCTGGCCTCAAACTCAGAGATCCACCTGCCCCTGCCTCCTGAGTGCTGGGATTAAAGGTGTTTGTCACTACTTCCTGGCTCCAGCTGTCCTTTAAAATATCTTTATATTTAAATAAAATAATACTAACTCCTAGTAAATTCAGTAGTAAATATAAACCATTATTTTAAAACTTGCTTTATTAATTGAACACCAATTTTGCTTTTCAGCGGGGATCTGATGAGCTTCTTTCTCCTGGTGTCATTAACGGACCTTCTACCATGAACAATTCAACTCCTTCAGGTGTGTATGGTAAGTTTTGCAACCCCACACCTCATGTTTTCTTTTTGTGAGCCTCCCTTTAAAAAAAAAAAAAATGTTCGTATGTGCCACTGTTTATGGTAAAAATCTGTTTTTTTTTTTTTTTTTTTTTTTAAACTCAGTGAGAAGTGAAAGCCTCAGTTAAGGAGAAAAGTTAGTATATGTTGAAGAAATTTATGAATGGGTCCACTGTGTTTTAATCTACCAAAAAATTATTGGAAAGATTTTATAAGCAGAGAATTTGTAAATATGCAAACAGAATGATACAGGAGTTGAGACTAAAGCCAGTTTTGTAAAGTTGAGCTCACATTAGAATCATCGAAGAGGCTGGGGAGTTAGTTTAGTGTGTAAGTGCTTGCTGTGCAAGTATGAGGCCCTGATTTGATTGCCATTACCCACCCACATAAAGGATAGTTATTGTAACCCCAGTGTTGCTGTGTGCGGAGTAGAGAACAGAGAATCTTCAGGGCTTGCTGGCCAGCCAGTCTAGCCAAAACAGGGAGCTCTAGGTTTAGTGAGAAACCCTGTCTCAAAAAATAAGGTGAAGAGTGATAGAGGAAGGCACCCCCAAATCAACCTGGCTGCTGTAAAGATGCATTGCATGGGTGAGGTGCCTAAGCACTTTGGATGTCATCATTCAGTGAAAGAACAATGCTACCTTTTCCTTTTTATTCATTCGAGGAGCCTTGCTCATGAAAAGATACTGCCCACATTCAGGTGGATCTTCCCACTTGAATAAAGCCTCATTAGAAAGCCTTCCTAGATAACACCCAAGGGTTTATCTGCCTGATAATTCTAAGTGTCCTAAAGTTGACAATCAGGATTAATTAGCACATTCAGAAGAATTTGGAAGTACTGAAAATCTGCTAAGGACCTGGCTTGCCCTTGAAATTTCTGTGTGGGGGATATATTTGTCTTTGTTTTTAGAGCTTTTAGGTGATGCATCTGAGGTACAGACAGGCTTGAGCACCATTACTGAAATTTTTGTTACCCTTCTCAGGAGTGATCCAATTCCCCAAAGAGAGTTGTATTCTTCTGGGGTTCATTCCAGTGAAACTTGTATAGGATCAGCACACCTGTCTTGTTTGGGTTTAGCATCCCTTAGATATTCTGCCATAATGCTTCTGATGTTAGAGGCATTCACCACCATTACTCACTTGGGACAATGTGAGTGTGACTCAATTCCCTGTAACTCCATCTTCAAGGAATCTTAGCACTCTCCTTTGGCTTCCATGGGCGTCAATATACATGTGGCATTTACATACATACTTGTGCACATGCACACTTACACACACCCCTTCACACAATTAGCAGATTATTACAAGAAGTCATTGGAGTAGACTTTGATGCTTTCTTAAGATATTTAAGTAATTTTTCAAAGACACAAACATTTTAATAAAGCCATACTGTGCACCAAAGTAAGAGCCAATTACATTGACTTGCTGAGTGTTTTGTTTTGTTTTGTTTTGTTTTGTTTTTCTCTTCAGGAGAATCAGAAAATTTTTTGTAGCTAATCTGAATATCAGTTTTAAAATACTTTTAAGAAGTTTGGGGAGACTAGCTTCTGTTGGTAGAATATTCCTTGTTTGAGAGCAGGAATTAGGTTTGCACCAGACCTCTTGCAAGTACATTTCTGTCTCATAAAATTTTTGCCATGTGTGGACATCAGTGATAGGCTGATGATGCATGGGTGTGAATTAACCAAAAAGACAGAAGAATGCTGAAGTAGACAGTTTATTACCTACACTGTGGTGTAGCTACAGCGGATAAGCTTCTGAAAAGTTTGCCACTGAGGAGAGGGAAACCTTTACAGCAGTTGAGGGGCAGATTATTTAGTCTAACTTCATGAACCATTTGCATGGAGTCCAGAACTGAAGCAAAAGCCATTTCTGAAGGGACAGACTAACTTTCTGCCTTTGTTAAATATTAAGCTTTACAGTATTAGTTGTCTCTGGAGACTGATCTTTGGGCTTAGGTGCCGTGGATTATTGGGAGTTTGTCTTGGAATGTTTTTGTAAAGCAGTACAGGTTGCTAGAGAAAGCTCCAAGCAGTTGGGTTTTGATTGTTAAAGTGTGGAGACTGTAGGATTTGTTTTTGGCCTTTTGTCTCTTTGCTTTTCAGTAAGAACAGTGTTCTTACCTTGAGTATGTGGCACTAATGTTTTCATTTTTTCCCCATTTTTTATTTAAATTAGAAACAAGACTGTTTTACATGTCGATCCCAGTTCCCTCTCCCTTCCCTCTTCCCCTGCCCCCCCACTAACTTCCTATCCCATCCCCTTTCTGCTCCCTAGGGAGGGTGAGGACTTCTTGGGGGATCTTCAGAGTCTGTCATATTCTTTGGAGCAGAGCATAGGCCCTCTCCCATGTGTCTAGGCTGATAGAATATCCCTCTATGTGGAAAGGGCTCCCAAAGTTCATTCCTATGCTAGGGATAAATACTGATCTGCTACCAGAGGCCCCATAGATTTCTGAGGCTTCCTCACTGACACCCATGTTCATGGGGTCTGGAACAATCCTATGCTGGTTTCCCAGCTATCAGTCTGGGGTCCATGAGCTCTCCCTTGTTCAGGTCAGCTGTTTCTGTGGGTTTCATCAAATGTTTTCATTTAGTATTACTAAACTAATAATTTAGTATTACTAAATTATCTCAACTAGGACCCAGGAAGCTGAGGCAGGTGGATTTTGAATTCAGTGGCAGCAAGTTTCCAGGCTAGCCTTCACTACAAAATTCTATCCTACCTCAAAATGATGATAATAACATTTTTTACCTTCTTTTTCTTTAAGACAAGGTTTCTCTATGTATCTTTGGCTGAAGACCAGGCTGCCTTAAACTCACAGAGATCCACCTGCCTCTGCCTCCCTGAGTGCAGGGATTAAAAGGCATGTGCCACCAGCGCCTAGCTAATGTTGAACTTTAAAAAATGAATTTAAATATATTAGGTACAATTACTCCTCTAATGTTAAGTTAGCAAATGAAGACTAAACTGAATGGTTAACAGTCTGTTAATTAGGAGTTGCTAACTGTCTCTTTATGCCATATACAGGAAAAACTGCATGTAAAATTAATGAAGGAAAATTGTGAATTGATTCATTGTAAGATATTAAACAGAATAAGGTTATATTTCATGTGTACCTTGCCCATGAAAGGGTGTATATGTGAGGGAGAGAGTATAGGCAATAGGCAACAAGATTGAAATCTGTTAGAAAAAGCTGACGATTCCTACTTAATCATATCCTACTGTCCCTGATGCTTTTAAATCAAAGGGTCTATATGCTGTCCCTGAATTTGTAAAGATGTCGGTCTGTTACTGATTAACTTTCAGATTTAACTGCTCTATCTAAATAAATAGATGACTATAGCAAGAACCTGAGGCTAAGGAATTAAATCTACCAAACATCATTCTGGCTTATTTTGGTACAGCTAATAATACAGACAGATATATTTAAAATGAAGTTTTTTTTTAATGTTTCATAAGGATACAGGAGCATTGGTGCCAAGTTGAAACTTTCCCAGGCAACTTGGGACCTATGGTTATTCTCTTTAAATGTTGTTAATGTTCTTTTCAAATCTCATCTATTATGGGCTGCCTAGGTGCTTAGGAAGTAAAGACACTTGCTGTCAAGCCCTGGTGACCTCTGAGTTTGATCCCCAGATCTTATATGATGGAGGGAGAGAACTGAGTCCTGTTGTCCTCTTGACTTCCCCTCGTCTGCTGTGACACAAACATGTCTGCACATGCATACATGTGTATACACAAAATCAATAAATGCAGTGGTGATACACACCCTTAATTAATCCCAGCACTCAGGAGACAGAGACAGACAGATCTCAGTTAATTCAAGGCCATCCTGAGCCACACGAAACTGATCCAGTCTAAAAGAGAAACAGAGCTCACACAAAGGTGATCTCAGTACTTGGGATCCCACATATTTAATCCCAGTACTAGAGAGGAATGTAAGGTGGGAGGAGACCGGAGCTCAGTGCAGTCTGAGGTTTGGTGGAGACAGATGCAGTCTGGAAATGTAATCTGAGGACAGGATGGCCCTTTCTGTCTGAGCATTGGTAGAGGTAAGAACTCTCTAGTATGTACACACAGGGCAGTGTTTTCTGTTTGAGAACTTGAATCATGCTGTTAAGGTGAATTTTTTTCTAATAATTATGAAAAAAATCACACTTCATAAATCATACTGTCCCTTTAAATATAGTTGTATAAACTAATGGTAGAAACAGTGATACTATTTATTTTTATTCTTGATTTTTATTTCAGCCCATTGTTACTTAGATTAAATAGCTACTTTCAAAGTCATCCTTTTGGTTAGAGGTGGTTTTGACTAAAAACTACAAGAATTTTATGGGACCTGCAGGGTATCTCTTGTATACTGTTTTTCTTTTCTCTTTGGCTTGGAGGAATTCTGTCTTCCATCTGAGATTTTTAAGGATGAGGATTACATTTTAGTAAGAGACAAAATAGTTTTGTATGTTGCTATTATAAATATATACTATTAGCTTCACAAGTATAATGTTAAATGAAAGCCAATATATGTTATATTATTGGCTCATTTATGTAATATTTAAAACACAAAAATAATAATATATGTTGTGAGAAATCAAGATGATATGCTTGGGAGATAAGCGTAAATGGAAGGATGAAAGACTCATGTATATATAACACGTTCATGTTTTCTGTGTGTGAGTGAATGCTATTGTGTGTAGGTGTCTCAGGATACCAGTAGAGGGTGTTGGATCCCTTAGAACTGGGATTGTAGGTGGTCATCAGCCACCTGGTGTGGGTGCTGGGAAGGTCTTAACCTCTGAGCTGGCTTTCCAGCCCAGTGTTCTACTTCTTGATTTGGGTGCTGATTATGTGGTCTATTTATTTATGGAGCTATGATAATAGTAATACTAAAACCCATTATATGAGTACAGTGCAAAGCTATAGAAAAATACTTTGATACAGTTATGAGTTCTAACAAATGTACACAAGATG